CTCTGTTGCCCAGACTGGAGTGCAGTGGCCGCTCCCGGCCACCGCAGCCTCGACCCGCTGGGCTCCGGCGATCCTTCTGCCTCAGCCTTCTGAGTGTCGGAATTACAGGCATGCGCTACCACGCCCGGCTATGACACTGGTTTGTTACTACTGGAGAAGCCCTCCCAATTTCTACAGGTTTGCATAATTTTTAAAATTTATACTAGAAAACTAGAAATATATAGAAACATTCTGGAGGTTGGCGGTTACAGTATATTAAGAGACAAAGCAGAGGATAATAAGAAATGAGAAGTTTTATGCTGGGCTCGGTGGCTCAGCCTGTAATCCCGTACCTTTGGGAGGCTGAGGTGAGTGGATTGCCGGAGCCTGCGGGTTCGAGACCCACCTGGGCAACTTGGCAAGACCTCATCTCTATAATAAATCAAAAAATTAGCCGGGTGTTGTAGCGCACGCCTGTAGTTCCAGCTACGTGGAAGGCTGAGGCGGAAGGATCGCCAGAGCCCAGCAGGTCAAGGCAGCAGTGGCCGGAAGCGGCCATTGCACTCCAGGCTGGGTGACAGAGTGAGACTCCAACTCAAAAAAAAAAAAAAAAAGAAATGAGAAATTTTAGGATTTAAGTATTTATTTTAGTAAATGTAAAGAGAGTCTGTCTCTAGTAACAACAGGACTTCTTGCAAGTCTCTCTCTTGTAAGTGATAAGCTGTTACTCTCTTTTTTGTCTTTTAAGGCTCTCTCCTCACTTAGTCTTCTCCTTATTTCTCTCTTCCAGAAATATTTAGAAACACAAACATGTACTTCCTTATTAATCAAAACTGAGAATTTCAGAAATTCGGGCTGATGATTCTAAGAATGTTATCTAAGGGTCAAAGAGGCTTACTGAAGAAGTCCTGGAAAGATTCTGCGAAGGAGGTCACAGGGATTAGAATACCTGCACGTCTCACTGCTTTCGCTGCTTTCGGCGTTCCCACCTAGTTGGTTACTATTTTTCGAACCATTTTCCTGCTTTGGATCCTGCTGTTCTTCGGGTAGCAGCAACAAGGCATTTCTGAGACAAATGGCTGCAAACTCCATACTGGCTACAGGAATGGCTGACGACTGCCCATCACTTAAAAGAACAAAACCAAATTAATTATGTGGCATAAAAATAAATAAGACTTTTTGTGTGTGTGTATCAGAAATAAAACCAATTGACTGCAAATGAAAACTTTGCCAAGCAGTTATAAAATAATGTTAAAGCACCCATATCTTAAACATTATAATCATTTTTTGAGTCAGAATCTCACTCTGTCATCCAGGCTGGAGTGCAGTGGCACAATCATAGCTACTAATTACAGCCTCAACCAGCTGAGCTCAGGTGATCCTTCTGCCTCAGCCTTTCAAGTAGTTGGAACTACAAGTGTGTATTACCAAGCTTGGCAAATTTTTTGTTTATTGTAGAAACGAGGTCTCACCATGTTGCCCAGGCTGGTCTCGAACTCCTGGGCTCAGATAATCCTCTCACTTTTGTCTCCCAAAGTGCTGGGATTACAGGCATGAACCCCTGCACCTGACCGTAAATATTATATATGGGTTGTAAATAGCATAAATAATGGATTGCAAAGGTATGTATTAGGTACCTTGTGCCTCTAGGAATGAGACCAAGGATGTGAGACAACTTGAAATATATCTGCAATGTCAATGTTAAGGTAATAAAGGAATTGCATACAAGGAAAACTGTAATGAGGGCTGGGACAGGTATAGTAAGAATGGGAAGCCGGGCTCGGAGGCTCAGCCTGTAATCCCGTGCCTTTGGGAGGCTGAGGTGAGTGGATTGCCTGAGCCCGCGGGTTCGAGACCCACCTGGGCAGCGAGACCTCATCTCTACAATAAATCAAATAATCAGCCGGGCGTGGTAGCGCATGCCTGTCATTCTGGCTACTCGGAAGGCTGAGGCGGAAGGATAGCCGGAGCCCCCAGCAGGTCGAGGCTATGGTGGCCGGGAGCAGCCACTGCACTCCAGTCTGGGCGACAGAATGAGACTTCAACTCAAAAAAAAAA